TCGTCCCGACGCCTCTTTTGTTCTAAAATCGCAGTCTCTTCTGCTCTATCCTAAACATAAAATTATGCTATTTACAGAGAAAACTGTCAACATATTCATTCTTGCTATTAAATATTTATTAACTAGCTGTTGCCCGCGACTTCGTCCGCGTGGTATTAGAAAACATATGATCTATAAATAACAAAAAGCTACGTATCCCTCGGAAACTGGACATTTCTCGGGGATGAACCTTATCCCATGTGTACTCCAGACTTTCCTTTATACCTGTGCCAAATTTCAATAAGATATGTTGAACCGTTGTAGAATGATCGAGTAAATTTTAACAAAACTAAATTAATGAATCCCACGGAAACCGTAACTATTCCCGGGATAAAAAGTAGCCTATGTGTTTTCCGACTATACTCTAAATCTGTGCCAAATGTCATGGAGATCCGTTCAGCCTTTTAGGCTACAAACGCTAACAAACATCCATCCATCTAAACTTTCGCATTTATAATACTAGTAAGATATCAGTGTTTATGACTTTTCATAACGGGTTTGTAATTAAATTGGCAAAATATATATATATATGTACAAGCCTTCTTTCGCGGTTTTCCAGTTAAATCAAGAAACCAACTACAGGTATTTCTGATAAATGAAGAACGCCTGTCACCCAACAGGGGGCGTGACATTTCACTTATATTTTACTTTAATGTGTCAAATATTTATACTTTATGTCTAATTATCATTTCTATAAATTGCTTATTAATTAATAAATAAAAATATTCATATATACAATGGAAAAACACACCTGTGTGTTGCAAAACTATATGTACAAAAATACAAATTAAAGTGAAAAAGAATACATAGTTTACTAGCTGTCACCCGCAACTCCGTCCTCGCAGAATTTAAAAAACAAAACTCGATTAGTAGTCTATGTTTCCAGACTATGGTCTACATTTATGGCAAATTACAGCAAAATCTGTTGAGATGGTCTGAAGATACTTAGTAACAAACATCCATCCATCCATTCACAGTTTATAAGATTAGTAAGAAAATAAGATAAGATTAGTATAGCAAGAGTCATAAGTTTAATATTAGGAGAATGCTTACCCTCTTGCGGCTCATCTTACGCTCTTTACGCTCGTCTCCTCTTATTTTAGACTTCCTCTTTTCCTTTTCTGGCGAACGTTCCTCGATATCTTTGCTACCCTGCTCATGCAGAAACATTACATTATTTCGCGTAAAGCTGACTAAATAATGTCAATGATGCCACTATAAAGCCTTTTCTAATGACATTTTTTTAAAAACGACCACATCGTTTTTAATATCTACTTTGTAAAGAAAATAAAATGTATTTTACTATCTAAACTGAATTATGAATTTGAGAAAAAAATGTCATGCTTCATAGACCAATTAATAATTATTAAATTTAATAAATGAGTTAAAAGACACAATGTGTCAAGAACTCGCTCTCAAGAGATTGTTCAATTTTGTAATTCAGCTTCAAATTTGTCCAATTTTCCCATCTCCATCTTCCATCTTTCTTCTATTTTGTTTGTTCTAAGCTCTTCTTTTCAGTCTTCTTGAAGTATATGTTGTAAGTTACTATGTTATCTTGCTCCATTTTCCCATAGTTCTATTCTTGGTACTTGCTTCAGCGTTATTTTCTTTGTGAATATATTCTAAATGTCTTCTGATTTTGAGAACATTGTCTTAAATCATTATGCCTTTTAACTCATTATTACAAATAAACTATGCAACCTTACCAATTTGCGACTTGACGGACTGGGCTGATTAGACGCACGACACACGGTTTTTTTAAGATTTAAAAGTCCTAATATAGTTTTAATTTCTTGAGATACAGCATCTTCATTAATTCTTCTTAAATAGAATATTGAAAATTCTTTCTTCTCTCTATCTTCTTGTTAGAAATCCCAAATTTTTTTTCAATGATTTTCTCTTTAATCACTGTTTCAGGAACATTGATGTAAAGATGATTCCGAACTATTTAATCATGAAGTGAATGTAAAACATTTTGTACTTCATAATTCTTTGGCTTCTTAAAATGTGTATTTAGTTATAATTTTATTTTTAATACACATTTTGGATAAGATGATTTGGACGTCTCAAGTAACATTTGTTATTTTTTTATCATTTGCCAAGTAAATTGATTTATATTGAAAGTTTCTTAGGTAATGTAATATTAGCTGGTAATCAACTTGCGGTTTTTACTGTTATGTTTTTATGTCGTCGTAGAATCAATAATGATTTATTTTCATTTTATGCCATCTTCTTCCATATCTGGTTTCTCCTGATAGGTTTAGTTTTCGCTGGCTAAGTCTTGTCAAACTTCTTTTCTATTCACGTCTATTTTGCTAATTGGTATTAAGTATTATTCAATAGATAAATATCTTCAATAATCCAACGATATTCATTCTTCGTTTGACGTCTTCATTTTCATCATTTTTATAAATATTTTTAAATGTTTTTTTTTATTTATTTTTTTTTGTAATTTGAACACTATTTTTTGAAAGTCTTAGTTTTCCACAGTACAGTCCGCTGTCCGCAGTCCGCAGTCCGCAGTCCGCAGCGACAGTACACAATGCGCAGTACAGTACGAGTAAGGTCGCGGCGCGTAGCGAGGTTGTCCAGCCCAATCGTCAGTCGGGCGCGAGCGGGATGCGAGCGAGGTTTATCACAATACTCACCTTGCCTGAGCCGCTGCTTTCTACTTTGCGACGCTTCACGTCTGTGGAATTTAATAACGAAAAATTAATAAAAGCATATCGGTTATAGGACAGCCTAAGGTATATGTCATATAACTTAGTTTATCGAAATATTATAGAAGATAGGTGTAATGGGAGTTAATAAGCAGCCCCCATGGAGCCGACAAATATTTGAAAAGACATATAAAGGTTAAGTTAACTGTATAAAATAAATTAAATTGTTAAATAAGTAAACGAAGGATAGAAAAAAATACAAATATGCGACGCCTGTGGCAACACTACGCTTCCGGTACTCACTCAGCGACCGATAAGAAAAAAAGAAGCAGAAAACTGAGGATTGCCGTCCGCCATTAATTCCAAATGTTTTAATTCCTCCATTAATTTGTCTCTCTTCAACAAATTTCCATCCAAAAATATTCGAAAAGCAACATTTGTCAAGTACATTATGAAAACATACCACGATCTATATCGTCAGGCGGATGGCGGTGGTCATGCGGAGGTGACACGGCTTCCAAATAACGCTCCTCCTAGAAAAAGTTATGAAATATTAAATCTCAACGACTTTAATTTAGTTCATTTGGTTATTAAAAATAGGCCTCTGTATTTTAGAAAAAAATTCTCATGATCGAGTTAATTTTATGTCTATACTAGCTTTCGTCCGCGACTTCGTCCGCGTGAATTGAAAAGAACAAAAGTGAATAGCCTATATGTTCTTCCAGACTATCCTCTACATCTACGCCAATTTCATAGTAATCTGCCCAGCTGTTTAGGCTACAAAGTCTAACAAACATCCATCCATCCATCTAAACTTTCGCATTTATAATATTAGTATGATTGTACTGATCAGTATATTCTAAAAGTATTTTTAAAATTAAATTGTCTACTTACTCTATGTGAACGATCTCTGGGCGATCTTTCTTTACTTCTTGCTTCTTCTTTACTTCTCTCTTTAAGGGATCTAAAATATAAATATAGATTAAATGAAGTGAAATTAAATTGTTTCAGATATTAATAATTAACTAAATATCAAACACTAGCTGATGCTCGCGACTTCGTTCACGTGAAATTACAAATTAATAAAAAACATAGCCACTCACTAATAGCTTTTTAATGGTGGAGGAATTTTTAAAATCAGCTCAGTAGTTTTAGAGATGTTTCAATATATAAAAATACAAATCTTTCCTCTATAACATAAGTGAATAACTTACGATCTGGACTCGCGTTTTGATTCTTTATCGCGGTCAGCCTCCTCGCGACGTCTGTCGCTGTTCCTCGACTCTCTTTTATCCGAATCTAAAACAACTAATGAGATTAATATTTTCTAGATTTTCTACTAGAAATCCAGTTCCAACAGAAGTAAAAGGAACCAACTCATTATTACTGAATCAAACCATTTAACAGAAAGAAAATTGTAAAAGACATCTGCAGTTTCCATTTCATGTATAGAAGTAAAATGTCTAAAAGAACTTATAGACATTTTTTTTTATTTCAAAGGGCAGAGTGAAGGTCGAAAGGTAGCAAATAATGCTAATGTTTTTTAACACAGATAACCTGTCATCATCACCAGCTCACTCTAAGTACCAACCGAGGGGCCCAGAGCCTACACTGAGTAAGGGGTGATTAGGCCATAGTCAACTACGCTGGCACACTGCGCGTTGGTTGTCTTCACAAATATCTTTGATTTTCTTCGCCGATATGTGTAGGTGGCATCACGATGTTTTCCTTCACCGTAAAAACGTCGGGTACATTGTATACATATAAAAATTCAAAAAATAAAAATCACATTGGTACATGGCGGGATTCGAACCCAAGACCTGTAGATTATAAATCAAGTGCTATAAATGTCAAGATAACCTGTACAAAAGTCATATTCTAGAAAGTTCTTACCAACGGGTTGCGGGGAGGTGGTTGCTTCTGTATCCTGCTTGACGGGTGCAGAATCCTCCTTAGCAGCGGCTGGTGCTGCAGCCGCAGCCAGCACCTTCTGCTGATCTCCGATCTATAAATGTTTTTTTTTATAATAACTAAAACATTAATATAAATACACCAAACTAACTGTTGCTCGCAACTTTGTCCATGTGGAATTAAAAAATAGTGAAAAACTATAACCTTTGTTTTGTTACTCACACATAAATTACCTTTCTAACGATGAAATTTTTTAAATTGGCCCAGTAGGTTTTAAGTTATATAAATAAATACAAAAATACAAATCTTTCCTTTTTATAACAATTGTATAAATTCAGACAATGGTAAATAGTTTCATATTAAAAAATATAATAAAACGTGCTTTATATCGTTCGTCATATTAAACTTAATACATCGGTTTTTAGAAAGAGAGAAGTGGCCCGTTTTAGTTTCATAATGTTGTCTCTGTCATACATTATCTTTGATGGTGAAAAGATTTTCTTACCTGATGGAAGTCGCACTCCCTCATCATGTTGGGAACTTTATTCCTCAGCTGTCCGCTGTAGCCAGTTGCCAGCACGTACAGGTCTTGACGTTGAGTCTTTTCTTCTTCTTTTACCTATTTAAAAAGTTATTGTTATACATATCCAATGCTAAAACGCACTAAGTTTACTAGAATTAATAAACCAGAGAAAAAAAGCATATTCTAACAGGATTGAATAGCTTTTTGACCAACTTTCCAAAAGAAGGAGGTACTCAATTCGTCTGCATGTTTTATTTATTATTAAAAACTAACTATTACCGTGCGGCTTCATCTCCTTGAAGTTATAAAAACTTTGTTTTAATAATTTCAATTGCAAATGTATAAATTCAAATAACTATTAGTTTAGAGAGATGAGAGAACATGTCACGTTTACCTTTTCGACTTTCCTCTCAATGATCTGCGCTAGTTTCCCCAGTACGGGGAAGTGGGGCAGCACGCGGATGAGCACGATGAGCGCGTTGCGGATCTGCACGTAGTCGCCCGAGTCCAGGCACACCACCATCGCCTTCGTGATCTTGTAGTGCCACTTGTGACACACGTGTCTGCGGAATATTACAAACTTTACATTGCTCCTATCATAAACCTGTACTATAAACAAATATCATATCCCTAAAACTCGTAAATAATATGTTTCCGGTTAAACTATTATTTAACTAGATTTTGCCCTACTTCTGCGTGTAATTAAAAAAACAAAAGTGAATGGTCTATGTGTTCTTCCAGAGTATCCTCTATGGCAATGCCTCTAACAAATATCCATCCTTCTAAACTTTTGCATTTATAATATTAGTAAGATTATACAAATTTATATTCACTTTATCTAACAATATTCCTAAGATAACCCATAAATGTGTAACAGAATGTCCACCATGTGTGTAATTGCATTATTGAATTGGACTTAAATGGTCAATCTTTTCATCTTACTTATCTTTCTATTATTATAAATACGAAATTTTTGATAGATTGATTAACCTAGACGGTTAAACAGATTCAGTTAAAATTTAGGCATAGATGTAGAGCATAGTCTAGAACACATAGGCCAGTAACTATTCTAGTCGCGGTCTCAGCTACAATTGACAGCTGTAAGTTATATCAGTTTGAGATATACCGATAGTTTTCGTATCCGACGTGATCGTTGGCCTCGGTGAACTGGTTGGAGACGCGGTACTTGGTGACGAAGCCGGGGTAGTGCGCGCACTCGCGGTGGAAGGCGGCGCGGTCCGCGTGCCAGCGCATGGCCGTGCCCAGCACCTGGCACAGGAAGGTGCCGTAGCG